TAGAAAAAATAATAAAGATATTCTTTATATACTGTGACAGCTGGGCTAGCTGGAGCTATGTGACACAGCGGCATTTCTTATGTAAATATTTCGTAGAAAATTCAAAGATGTTTCACTGCGACGAAGGTTCTTTCTGCTTACAAATCTCAAATTATTCGGGTTGAAGCTTAAAACATTGTAAGGTGCAGGGGGGTGGGGGTAGGAGGGCTCGGGGGACTGTGTACGTACTATTAAAAGCATTTTTACTCGACTCTTTGCTATTTAATTGACTCATTGCCTCTGAAAAATTTTCTCAAACCGATATAGCCTTAACGGTAGTGGTCAGTACTAGAGCATCAATTCTGTACAGAATTTAGAAATGTGTTTATTGCGTTAGACCATGCTCTGTGCTAAATTCATACTGATATGTACGAGTGCGGAATGGCTGCTGACTTGATTCTCCTTACTATGCAAGCTTAAAACCTGGCTGTTTGTGGATGAAATCCAATTTCCATTCTAAGCTCCCTGGGAGCCTCAGCCTTAGTTTTAGTAATCACTTACCATTAATACTGCCCCAAACAATTTTTAGTACTTAAAATACAAATTTCATGTATAATATATAATACAGCACATCACCTCCACTTACAAATTGTAAGCCAGATACGTAATGCATTGTAGGATAGTAAAACGTGGCCACTTTAACATCTAAACAGGCCCCTGCCCAAAAGCATTCACAAATTAAGAACTCGATCCGGCACTGTACATAGGAAACTTTCAATGACTTCTTTGGGAATTGTGTCCCAGGAATGCGATACCTAGCCTCCTCACAGGCAGATGAAATAGATGCGGCAGATTCAGTAACAATTTGATAGCATATATGGTCAGAAAAATGATTGTATAAAAATGGAACTTTCTTACTCATCATATACCCTTTGTATCTAAGATACTCTGACTCATAATTGCTTAGTTTACTGACTGAAATAAAATTTTAGGCTTCTGTTACCTTGGCAGTTGCTGACACAATTATGGTACAGCAAGCTGGGGACTGGTTCTAGCTCTTCCATTTTCTCTACTAAGTTCCAGTTGAAGAATTTTAATTAGTATTCGAGCCAGAAAGAGCACAGCATGACTTGAAAATCTCAGGTCCAGTTTGTAGGGTCACCAGTCCTAAGAGGCCTCTTTTTATTTGTAAACTGAGCAAATGACTTACAGAAAATTTTGAAGACAAAAATTAAAAAACTGCAATGTTCGCATGAAGCCATCTTGAGTCAATTTGCACAGTGGAACTGGATAAATTATAACACTGCTCCCTTTATCTCACTGAATATGTCCCATTCATCTGTAGTAACATTGAATCAAACAATTCTCTTGTTTTAAGACCACATCTGTTTTACTGTGCTCCCCACACCAATTTTAATTATGTGGCAGATCTGATTGGATTCAGCACCTGCAAGTCTTCCCTTTGGGAGCTCCAATTAGCTTATAAAACATTTACTTGATTGCATTCTTTAAACAAAAGTATTGTTTCATCCTAACAACCGGAATATTAAAGTGTAGAATAAAAAAGGGTTTTAACGTGATAAGTGGCGTGTATGTTGTTTGTGTATCTATCTTCCATAAGCTTAGAGGAAAAAGGGGTAATCCTGAAACCTAATTTCCTCAGACTCAGCAGATGTCTGTCCTGCGTTAGGCTGTTTCTTTACCAACAGCTGTTTCAGAAGTGCCTCCCCTTGTCTCCACAGAATGCCTTTTGTTTAGTAATTTCCTGATATGTTATCTCCCAGTCCCACTAAGACAAGCTTTTTCAACTTTTCTGGTACCTATAAGTAGGTTTTTTGTAGTTTAATAGGTTCATCTTCGAAGAATTTAGCTAAAGCTATATAACTAGCCTCTCAGCTAGTTTCTTAGTAGCAGTTCTACTTAACTAAGCAAATAGCTGTACATAATAAACATCTCAACAAATATTGTTTTAATATCAATAAAAGTATTAATTACTACAGATCTGCTTCAGAATATGCTTATTTCTCCTTATTTCACTGCTTGGAGCCGTCATAATTGGGTCTAGGGGGACTCATCGCATAAAGTGCAGCCCTCTAGTGGTAGAGGTCACGGGGAGTTTAAAGCAAGCTGTGTTTTTGTCGTGGGTGGGGGGCAATGAAATAGCTTTTAGCAAAATGCAAGCAACCTAGGACACTGCACTGCGGTATATGAGCCTCCTGCATTGTTCATGGTCTGAAGCACAAGTGAACATAGTTGTGGAGGTCTGTAGTACAGCCTTGCTGCCACTCTGTCGTGATTTCTATGGAGAAAGGACCAATGGAAAAATAAAAAAGTCTGTATCAGCAGAGTTTTCCTCTTTTTCCAAATCTGTAATCTGTTGCTCAGCTTTTCTTTTTCAGCCAGGTCTAGACTGGCATATCTAACCAGAGGTTGTTCAAGCTGTTGTGGGATCTTGATTCCTTTTCTTTCAGTCATGTCCTACCAGCTAATGTATTCTGTAATTTTAGTTAAGAGTTAGTGATAGTGTGGAATATAAATTCAATTTGCCAGCCTTATTTCTAAAAACGCTCTTGGCTGGTGGAGGTGTGGATGGTAGCATTCAAACTAATCTCTCCCACAGACATGAGAGCTGTGCTTAGAAATGAAAGGGATTAGGAAGAGGCATAAAGCTAAGCAATTAAGCATATTTTTTAACAAATAGAAATCTGCAGAATAACTGAGGTGAAGTTCTAGTAAACATCACCTAATCTGATAAAGTCCGCTTTGTGGAACAAGACTCAACCTCCTGTTTCTTGTAGAGGTGATGGATATTTCTCCTCTGGCTAACAGAATGAACAGTTTGTTTTTCCCCTTATGGGAAATATGACAGAGCCCAATAATCATTAGATGAAAAATGATACCTCTTAAACATCCTGGCTAGGTAAAGGAAAATAGATATGGTCTTTGTCCAAAATGATGCTGCTACTATTGGCAGGTTTTCATTACTGAACGATTGCTGTGATTCCTGGTAAACTTTGGCTCCACTAAAATTACAGTTAGTGATGAACTGAGAAGTCTCTTTCAAATCTTTAACTTCCGCCTTCTGTTTG